TCATAGGTTATATGCATTGTAAATATGGTCTGTTTAAGGACTTCTTTTCATTATAACAATGTCATTTAAAGTTCTAAATTTTGAAGGAATCTCATTCATCAATTTTTTTCCTTTATACATCATGTCTTTTTGTATCCTAGGAAATTCTTGCCTACCCTGAATTCATAAACATTTTCCTTTATAATTTCTTCTTAAAGTTTAATAGTTTTAGTCTTTCATATTTAGGTTCATAGATCCTTTCAAGTTATTTTTATGTATGGAAATAAAAGGTTGAGGTTAATTTTTTATATATGAATACCAGGTGTTCTAGTGCCCTTTGCTGTAAACACTTATCTTGTCCTCTGCTCTTGAATTGAGTTTATATTCTGTAAAATGTTAATGTTAAATAATCTTTCAAAACTCAGTGGACCATATATATGTGGTTCTATTTCTAGATTCTCTGTTTTATTCCAATGATCTATATGTCTTTCCTTACAGCAACACTGCCTTGATTACTGTAGCTTTAGAAGAAGTCTTAAAATTAGGTGCTAAACGTCTTCCAACACTGTTTTTCTTTCTTTTTCTTTTTACTGTTCTAGGTCCTTTGTACTCCTACATAACTTTTAAATTTCAATATCGAATTCTTCATTTATAGCAATTATACGTAGACCTGAATCTTTATGTATACCTTGTGCTTTCTAATCCTGCTAAATTCAAATACAAGTTCTAGGGGCTCCTAGAGATTTCTTAGTATTTTCTCTGTAGATGATCATTTCATCTGCATAGAAAGATTTTGCTTCTACCTTGCCAATCCTGTCCTCATTGTGTCATTTTATTGCCAGACTATTTTGGTTTAGGCCTATGTTTCAAAGTTTAATGGACAGGTGAAGAGTAGGCATATCTGCCTTTGTTCCCCACTTTAGGGAGAAAGCATTGTATCTTTTCCATTCATATAAGGTGTTTTTGCTGGAAATATGGAGTACATGTCTTTGATCTGTTGAGAAATTTCTGTTCTATTTCTAGTCTCCTGATAGCTTTTACCATGAACAGCTGTAGAATTTAGTCCAATACTTTTTCTCCAACTACTGACAGGGTCATATGGCTTTTTCCTTTTCTCTGTTAAAATGATGACTTTTGGGGATGGATCCTCCAGTGCTGAACCAACACTGCCATCCCTATAATAAAACTAATTTCTACATACTGCCAGATCTGACTTCTAAGAGTTTGTTTTGTTAAACACATTTCTATCTATGTTCATACTTTTCTCTTCTATTATCTTTATCCAGTTTTAGGATTAGCACAATGTTGATTTCCTAAAATGAGGGGAGAAGTGTTCCTTCTTTTTTCTGCTTTAAATGTTTGATATAATTTATCAGTGAAAATGTATATGAGCCTGTTGTTGTCATAAAGGTAGATTTTCAAGGTAGGAATATACTTTCTTTAATAGGTGCTATTCAAATTTTATATTTCCTCCAGAGTTAGTTTCATTAATTTGTCTTCCAAGGTACTTCTTAGAAGTTGTCAAATTTATTTCAAAAAAGATTTTTGTAATATGCTTTCTATATCCTTTTAAATTCTGTAAAATCTGTGGTAACATCTCCTAGATCTTGATATTGTAATTTAAAAAATGTATAATTGATACTGTGTAATAGGAAGAAAAGGTCTAAAGGAGCAGGGGAATTGGGAGGGGTAGGGGAAAGGAAAGAACGGAAAAGAAAAAATATGAGAAAAGGAAAATAATGGAAACAAAGTCTTTGCAAGAAGGGAAGGGTGGAGGGGCTGAAGGGAGGGCAGGGGAAGGGAGAAAAAATAAGAACCAAGATACTCATGTAATGGTACAAGATCCCAATGATGAATGTATTTTATACCTAAAATGTACCAATAAACTGAATGGGGAAAAAAATTTTTTTTTAAATAATGCCATAGTAATAAAGCTAGATATAAAAAGGGCCTTCAATCACTGACCCCTTCTGGCAGTTTCCAGCTATACCAGTAGCTGACCATGGTTATGGATAATTAGAAAAAAACTAAGGTAAAATCTGTAAGAGCTCAGAGTTTTAGATTTTTAGTGAAATTTGTTCTTCAAATTTTCTCTTACCTTCTTACAGCTAAAACTAGAGAAACTTATGACAAAGTATTAGACTTACAGATAACCTCTACCAATGAAAGAATCTAAGACCAGCAGGTTACAATCACTATTTCAGTTTCTAAGTGTAACTTTCTCCCCAGCCTGCCCTTCCATTCTAGTATACTCATGCTTAGATTACACGTGCTCTAATTTCTTAAAAGTTTTATTTATTCTTGCCTTGAGGCTGCCAAATTCCAAGCGGTCATACAAATTGAACCAATGACAAATGTGCTAGACTTCTTTTACCAGGATGCACCAGATGGACCTTGTAAACAGCTCTTAACTGACTCAAAGGTATATGCCTACCCAAGATGACAGTGCCTGGCTGGTGCCTTTTGAAGGCCTTTAGATAGACCCCCCGTAGAGTAACTCTGACTGCTGATCACAACTATGACCCTCTTCAGCAGGAATTAGCCAGAATAGTCTTCGCCCTTTGCCCCCTCATAGCAGTTTAGGGGTACTTCTTCAGAGGGGGGAATATTGCATATAGGTAAGTTAATTAGATATCGTGTAGGCAGTTAGACAGGGCCAGCCCAGGAGGAGCCAACATGGAGGACAATCCAGACTTCACTGAAGGCCAGCATTGTAAAAGGAGAGAAACTACCACACCTGTGTAGGATGAATAGCAATGATTGATATTCTAAACAGGTATCAGTCACCTGGGTGGGGTTCCAATATCTTGCAAGAAAGATCCCTGCCCCACCCCTTACCACAGAAAATCTTTGCTCATTCCTTGTATGCTTGCTACGTGACTTGTTTCCCCTTTGGATCCCTATTTAATCATTATTACCTAAGCAACAGTACTTGTCATAATCTCACTGGTTGTTCATAGTTTTGTCCACCTTGTGATTTCTCATTGGATCAACTTTACCTAAGTGACTGTACTTGTAATCTTACTAGTTAACTACAGTTTTGTCCCACCTTGAACCCGCCTCACCTTGTGGCTTTGTCCCATAAAACACCTTTGAGAAGTTGGGTGAGTGAGCAACCCACTTTCCGGTCCCCTTTCTGTCTCTCTTAGAAGCTTGCTTCCTCTCAATAAATTTTTCCTACTCCTTAAAAAAAAAAGAAAAGAAATTGATGGGCCTGACTCTGCTGACACCTCTTTCCTGTGTCATCCCATGACAGAACCCAGCAAGGGAGGTAGCTTAAAATCTCTCCCCACCCATACTGGTGATAGAACCCAGGAGCACTGTACCACTGAGCCACATTCTCAGCTTACTCCTCACTAAGTCTCACTAAATTGCCAGGCTCACTAAGGTCTCACTAAGTTGCCCAGGCTGGGTTTAAATTTGTGATCTTCCTGCCTCTGCCTCCCTCCTTGCTGGGATTACAGGCATGTGCCTGCTACAGCCTCTTTCCTAAGGCCACTATCATTCATGAAAGAGGAGCCCTTGTGACCTGATTTCTTCCAAAGGCCCCACTTCATAATCTTTACTGGTTATTAGGTCACAACATACAGATTTTGGAGCAATACCAATAACACCCAGCTTAAGTACAACATTTCTATTATAATGTTTATAATTCCACATTCATATAATGTAAATAAATGTAAGAAACCACTTTCCTGTGCATGTATTCTAATCCACTGACAAATGTTCCTAATTCTTATTGAAGTACTTTGTGCTTACTGAGCTGAACTTTCAATTAAACTTCTTTCATTTTAATATGTAGAATATTTAGTAGCACATAATATCTGCATCACTTTTCCAGAAGTAGTAGAAATATGCAGTGATACTTCAGTTGTCGAACTCAGTTCATTCCATAGCCGTGTTAACACTGAAATGTTCGAGAACTGAACATTTTTTCCCATAAGAAATAATGGAAAACCAAATAACTGACTCTGAGGCCTAAATAATACACTTACAAATTCATTTTTCCAAGACTTTAACACATTTCTCAATGATTTCTTTCTTTAACTCTATCGTGGTTTTCAGTTTTCTGCTTAGCTTTATTGCTGTTATCACTTTCTTTGGAGCCATGGTTACAATATTTTACACACACACAAAATAATCTTTTACACAAAGTGCAAAAAGACAAGAAAAGCACAATGACAATGGTTTTAACATACTGACAAGGGCACTGTATGTTGTCTGGGTGAGAGTAGTGCTTAAACAGAAGCGTCACCCCTTTGTGTCCATGGCGAGACACCACTTGTGACTTTCTTGCCCCTACAGGTTTTTTCAAGTCAGATTTTTGGTTCGACTGTCAAGCAGAGTTACAAACACTGAGCAGATGTTTTTCAAACTTTGCTGTTTGGGTAGTGGAGAGTTTGAGGTTGGAACCGTTTGACAACCGAAGTATCACTGTAGTTACATTTCAAAACCCACATTACTGATATAACGATTTTTCAGAAAAACCTACCATTTTTCTTTTTTGGTAATTGTAGAACAAATGTATCATTAAATTATTTTTGTGTATTTTTTAGTCCTATCAATTGTTTTAATTATACTCTCCATAATAGTTATTAAGGGTATCCAAAATCTTTGACAAGATAAATGGAAAAAGTGTAGCTTGAGATACAAAGTGCTAGATGTTCTTTTTATTTTTCTCAGTATTCATTTTAATTGGTTTATATTTGGCATCTGTCTGGCAGAATATAAGCCATCCTTGTAATTTAACTAGCCAGTAGGAAAACAGAAAAGCATTATGTCATATAACCATAATAAATTATCTCTTTATATAGTACACTAAACAGCACCATCTTCACAGCTTAATAAAGGTTTTTGAAATATTGGTAAAAAGTGAACAAATGAAATTTAATTTGCTCAGACCTAAAGAAATTGAAATGATTTCTGCTTATTATCATATAGGCATATTAATGGATTTTAGGGGGAAATTAGAGCTTACATTACAACAGTAATAATTGCCTATTTTTTTTATTTTTCCACAGTTCTTAGTGGTCTGTGTTCTAATGACTGTCCTCGGAGGATAACAGTAAGTAAACTTAATTCTCAGTTATTATGTCAGGGAAATTGTCTGCATGATAAATACACACAACATAGTTGTTATAAGGTAAAAATTGTTACTACTATTTAACAGTGAATAGACAGTAGTACCCTTCAGTACTCAAAAAAATCGTTGCTGGAATGTACTGCCTTTCCCAAAAAAAATTCTCACAAGGGTCACCTCTATTATGAAGCCTTTCGTGATATTTTCCCATTATTTTGGAACATTTGGTATTTTTATTTGATCTCATACTTTTAGGATAGAGGCCTCATACACTGGAGTATAACCTCTTGAGGTCAAGAACCTTATCATTTAGCTTTGCATAGTTGGTACAGAGCACAGGGGAAATGTATCCAAGGCAATTAATGACTTTTTGTAGTCTTTATCACACTATAAAGACTTGCTAATGGGTTTCAGTGAAATAACAAAATGTGAAAATAATCACGCTTAGTTTCAAAGAAGCCAGTTCATACAGAATGTTTAGAAAATAGAAATTATTTTGTTTGTAGGGTTTTATTTGTTTGTTTGGGTTGCATCATTTGGGATTTAACCTCAGGGACTTCACATTAAGCTTACATTCCCCAGGCCTTTTTAGTTTTTATTTTGAGACATGGTCTCACTGAGTTGCCCAGTTTGGGCTTATACTTGAGGTCCACCTGCCTCAGCCTCCCAGGGTGCTAAAGATTCCAGGAGTTCACCACCATGCCCAGCTATTTTTGAAAGTGTATGTGCGTGTGTGTGTGTGTCTGTGTGTCTGTGAGTGTGTAAGCACCTGCTGTGGTCTTTATAGTAACCCTTGTGTGGATGTCACCTTTCCATTACTGTGACAAAATACCTAACATACACAATTTTAAAGGAGATTTATTCTAACTCACAGTTTCAGAGGTTTCGGTCCTTGTCACTCTGCTTCATTGTTTCTGGGCTGTGGTAAAGCAGAGCATCATTCAGAGGAGCATGGCAAAGGAAAGCTGCTCCCCTCCAGGAAACATGAAAAGAATGAGAAGACCAAAGGAATGTGCCCAGATTAGTCCCCAAAGTCATACCTCTATGGTCCACTCCCTCTAACTAGGCCCCACCTCTTCATTCTATCACTCCCAGTAGCTCCATCAAATTATGATCCCATTAGTGGCTTGAATTTAGAACTCTCATGATCTAATCACTTCCCCAAATCCCATCAGCACTCAAGCTGTCAACACAACAAGCCTTTTGGAAGACAGTTTCATAAGAAATTATCCCTCATTTAAAGATAAGGAAACTGGAGCTCAGAGAGATTAAATAATCCAGAGTCACACAGAACTATTAAGTAATAGAACTGCAATACAAAACTAGTTGTTTTGATTATCATCTCATATACTTAATCCTATTTAAGCACTACATTACCAATATTTTATGTATGGTTGGGGAACTTCCTATGTTTAAAATATGTGGAAACAAGCCCTGACCCAGAGATTTAATCTAGGCTCAACCTGGGAGCAAGACCTCAGAAATAGTGAGGAAAGCAAGGCTGACAGAAGGAGAGATGTTGGTCTATCATGCATAGGGAGCACTGAGGCTTTGATGGTCCTTCAGAGATGGTTCCAAGTGAGGCAAAGCGGCCAAAACTTAACATTCTGCATTATTCAGACAGAGCAGAACATCCAGCCATCTCCTAGGAAGGACTTAGAGTATGTGAGGCAGATCTCTTTAGTTGAGAATAGTGGCCAGGTGTGACCCAGCTATGAGTTACCAGCAGCCAACACTTTGGACCACCTAGGAAATAAGTGTCTCAGTCCTAAAGGGAAGAGCTAGATGATGAATTGCAACATCCATACTGATACCAGGGCATTTACTGCAGTAAGGAAGGACTACTCAGATTCAGTTACATGTTCAGACTGAAAAATATAAAGACTACTGGAAGCCAGGTGTGGTGGTGCATGCCTGGGAGGCTAAGGCAGGAGGATAGAAAGTTCAAGCACAGCCAGGACAATTTATCAATTTAGTGAGACTGTATCTCAAAATAAAAAGGGCTCAGTGCAAAAGCCCTGGGTTCAATCCTCATGTACTCAGAAGAAAAATAGAGGCTGCATCTGCCAGAGAAGAAGCTGCCATGTTCCCAGCACAGCTGAAGAATTTGATTAAGGAGATAAGAGTATCATTCAAAGCGAGTCTTTAACTGTGATGAAATTGCCCTCTTTGGGGAGAAAATGACCAATGCAATCTGCATTCATAAAAATGCAAAAGTAGCACTGGTGCATAACACATGGAAGGACAGGTTAACTCAGGTATCATGTGCAGGGGATATGAAAAAACCAGGCATACCATGTGAAGAATCCATGCACTCTAAGAAACAAGTCATATTTTGAGAGAGAGAACACATTCACTTAGTATTACAGCAAATTTTTATAACTATTCTAGTTTATTATCATTATTGATCTCTTACTGTACAAATTTATAAATTAAACTTTTATGAGACACGTATACAGGAAAAAACATAGTAGTGTATGTATACAGTAAGGTATTATCCATGGCTCTAGATCCAGTTAAGGATCTTAGAATGTATTTATCAGAAATAAGGGAAAACTACTGTACATTACACATATTTACTCAGTCCTTACTATAATCCTATGATATATCCACTATATCCTATTTACTAGATACCTTGATCATTCCTAATTTAAGACGAGGAAACTGAAACTCGGAGAAGTAAAGTTCACTTGCCCAAGGTCACACAGAAAGTACAGAGGAGAAGTCTGAACCCAGAATGTCTGATTATAATGACTATATTCTTATCTTCAAAATCTGGAAACAAATACTGGAAAGTCTCAAGACGTGAAATACATAAATGAACTCAAAGGGCTTGAATTACTGTGTAAGTGAGTCAGGCGGTTATAAGGAAATACCATAGCCTGGGTGGTTTAAACAACAGAAAAATATTTTGTCACAGTTTTGAAGGCTGGACATGCAAGATCACAGTCCCATCCTGTTGGGTTCTGGTGCAGGCTCTCTTCCCGGCTTGCAGCTAGCTGCCTTGTCCATGTGGGCCCATCTGGCCTCTCCCCAGCCTATGGTCATGAAAAGGAGAGCAAGCTCTCTGGTTTCTTCTCAGGCACTCACCCTCTCCTGATGGTGCCACTCTTATAGTCTCATCTAACCCTAATTACCTCCCAAGGGCCCGTCTCTAAATGCAAACATTAAGACAAAAAAGCGACACAAACATTAAGTAAATCATTTCAGAGAAGTGTGGAAAAGAGTCAGCTGTTTTTCTTGAATAAATGCCTCTTAGGTTTTTGCAAAGTTTTTAAAAAGTTAATTTTGACAATTTTTTGCCAGAGTTCTCATTGCATTTTTGAGAGAGCAGATTTTTGAGGTCCTTTCTATACCATTCCAGAACCAGTTCCACCCTACTCTGTACACTCTGAATTCACCTGGTACTCACGCATGGTTGTGTAACTTTTCTGCATTCTGCATTTAGAAAATATTGATACACAGTGCCAACTCGTGCAAATCTTTTTGTTAATACCTGGCATTGCATAATATTTTTAAATCACTTATTAACATCACTTCTAATTTTGTCAAGAAAACTTTTAAGTATTGGGAAGATGTCAGCTCACAGTGGCAGATACAGGATTTCAAAATTTCAGATTTTCACTTGGAAGCTCTAATTTTATTACTATCAACAAATACTGTCAGTTCATTTTCCTAAAAATGACAGACTCACTTTGTCCATTTTGAAAAAAGCATGAATAATTTTCTGGTGCTACTGCTCATTACCCACCGTTGCTTTTGCCCTATTAGTGTAAATGTTAACAGTATATAATACAAATGACATCTTACTATATCGAATGTGACCTTCTGTAAGTGTTTGGGAGTAGTGGGGGGCCATGTGCCACACTTTGAGAACCATTGTGTGGAACAATCAAGTTTAGATTTCTGGAACCTTCTCTTCAGATATTAGAATGACTGACCCATAGTAAAAAGTGAAATTCAGCTTTCAGATGCAGGAACGTGCTGACCTAATTTTTTTAATTGAACAGGTAAAAGAGAGAGAGAGATGCCTAAATAATCTATAAAATAAGATACTATGCATAGTACTATGAAATATTCCACATGTATTAGAACAAATACTCAAAAATGTAACTGAGAGCTGGGCATGGTAGTGCACACCCATAATTCCAGCACTCATGAGGCTGAGGTAGGAGGATCACCATGAGTTTGAGGCCAGCCTGAACTGCAGAGCAAGACCCTGTCTCAAAAAAAAAAAATTAATTGGGAGTATTCACTGAAAACAATTCTTGGATGAAAACAGCAGGACATCTGTTCCAGTGTAGAGTAAATTTGAGGTTATCACATGGTAGTAAATGTGGCCTCATGAATATTATCTTCTAGCCTCCCTGAAATAAAATGAGCTTAAAATATAAAAGAGTATATACCCTATGGCAAAGAAACGGATCTAGAAAAAAATAAAACATTTTAAGAAGTGATTACTACATTCCCAATAATGATTGTTAAGTATGAGAAGCAATAGTAGCTCTCATGTACTGCTGGTTGGAGTATAAAGTGGTAATACCACGTAGGAAAAATAGAGTTGAAGAGGCATATATCCTATGACTTCTCCCTCTGGGTTCCTAACCCCCAATAATCTTTTGCACTTGTGCATCAGGTGACATGTAAAAATGCTGTGTTTGTTGCAGCAAAAAAAAAGTGGAAAATTGTCAGTCAACAATAGAATGAAAAAATGATGGCATAATCACACAATGGAAAACTATACAGCAGTAAAAATAGACTACAGCAACATGTTTAATCATGAATGAGTCTCAAAATAATGTATTTTAAGCCAAGCATGGTGACCCACATCTTAATCTTAGCACTCTGGGAGGCTGAGGCAGGAGAATTGCAAGTTCAAGTCCTACCTTAACAACTTAGTGAGACCCTGACTCAGAATAAAAAATTTTTAAAAGTGGCTGATAATGCAGCTTAGCGTGAAGGCCCCAGGACAGCGATGGTGAACCTTTTAGAGACTAGTGTCCAAACTGCGACTCAAAACCCACATATTTATAACAAAGTACCAACACTGTAAATAAACCTGAATACTAAGTTTTTAGTTTACAAAAAACATATATTAACATCCTCTGTCTTAAAAGAAAAATAACATGAATGCAATAGGTTCACCACCAATCCGCTACGTTCAGTCCTCCATAATATAAAAACAAAACAAAAAAATGTATTTTATTAACAAAGAACACATACAGTCTGATTCTACTGCCATAACAGAAACCATGTATATGGAGTTTTTTTATTTTGGTTTTTTTTTTTTTGCAGGGCGGGGGGTGGTGGTTAGGGATTGAACCAAGGGAGGACCTTGTGCATGCTAGCCAAGAGCTCTGCCTCTCAGCTACGTCCTCAGCCCTCAGATTGTACTTTAATGTATTTTAATGATAAAACTATAAGAAAAAAAGGAATAATTAAATGAAAAAGATAACTTCTTATCTTAACTTGATCTAGTTGACTTGAAAATTGTATCTGAGAAAATAACACTATAGATACAGAATTTTGGCAATTCTTTGATGAAAACAGTATGTAATACAAAGTGTAATATTCATCTTTGTACATAACAGTACTTCATGAACAACTTTGTTTTTAATATTTGTGTAACAGTCCTCACAACTGTTTTATTCAGTTAGTAATGTCTTAAGAGTAATTCTGTTCTTATAGCAGCCTAACTTCTCATGGCCATTGGGAACACATGAACTTCTAAGATTCTTAAACTATCAGTCAAGTAGTTGTGGCATCAGTGCTGTTAATTCTTGCCTATCCTGGAGGAAATTATCTTTAGAGTGTTAATAGAGTATCTAGAGGTATTATTAACTTTTACCTACTTTATTGAGAGGATCTGTAGAATTTTATTTCTGTAAAATGTATTCAAAAATTTTAAAGCATTTTTTAACCCTTTGTTAACATATTTTCATAGGATGTCTATTGTAATCATTGGTTTCTTTATGTCCTATTTAATCAGCCTTGATATCTAAAGAGAAGGAATAAATCATTTTATTCAAGGTTTGAAGGAGATTCTAGAAATAATAAGTTGGAGATAAACTTTACCACTGTAACAAGGCTGGGCCAGTCTTGTCAGGTTCTTCTTAGCCAGAAAATAATGTGATTGAATTAATCATCAGTATTTTTCATCCACTTGTAATTATTGTGCATGAGTTTCGTTTATCTTGATACTGTAGGGAGAAAATATAAAATGTCCAATCCATCACTGAAGAGAAAAGCAATGCTGTATTCAGCATATAGCATATTAAAATTATAGTTTGGGGGATTTTTTTTGTCATTTGATTTTGGGTTGTATTTTTATTTCCAGTGCTGGCCCTTGAACCCAAGACTTCACACATGCTAGGCAAGCACTCTACCACTGAGCTATACCCCTAGCCACAAAATTGTTGTAATTCTATTCTAAGTAAAAGAAAAACTGAAAAAAGGTAAAAAAAATGGCTTAAAATATTCACCCTTATTAAAAAGAGACAATATTTGATTTTAGAAATACCTCATGAAAATAATGAATTATTTGAATAATGAACACAACTCTCGGGTCATTTAAAGTGTTACAAATTTTCTAGTAGATAGGTTTTATTTTGAAGTACTATATTTGTAGAAATGTTCTCTAAGTAACTTCATCTATTTAAGAACTATATGTAAGAATTTTTTTACTTTACTTATAATAGATTTGCCTGAAATTTCAAATCATTCCCTTATTTTCCAAGACTATTTCCTTTCTTATTACAGCCTTTTGGAGTGAATCAGCCTGGACCTTACATCATGTATACAACTGTTGATGCAAATGGGTATCTGAAAAATGGTTCAGGTAAGGCTGTTGCGATGGATAATGGGTTGCCAGACAGACCTTCAGGTTCTTATGTGGGACGCACAAATAACTGGACATGGTATGTGACAGGAAAAAGCAGCAAAGTTTAAAGAAGTGTAATTAGTGGAATGCTCAGTGGAAGCAGGCTTGCACCTGGGAAAGAAAAATGGCACACACTGAATATGTTAGGTTTAAGAATTTAAAATGTTGCACTGGGTCTAGGGCGCCTCCCATTGGGTTTTTCAGAGTGTGACTGACAATGTCATTGGCAGGGCATTGAGTCATGTCAGCTGTCTATCACACATGTCTTTTTCCATAATTCTCTGTTACAATTGGTTGCATGAGTTGCAGTCCTTTATGCATGAGCCTTGGTAAGCTCCAGGGAAGAAAGGTTACTGTAGGTCATGCTAGAGAATCTGACATACTTGTGTCTGGGCTTGGGACTTCAGAGTCTTCCAAGGTGGATGGGTGCAGGAGTCTCTGTCTTTCTTTGCCTCTGGGTAGTAAACTTTAGGACAGAAGTCAAGATTCGCCTGCGAGATTTCCTGGGTTCAGGTCAGTGGAGGGGAGTGATCCTGTAGCCCCAATTGTACAATCTATATTAAGGCCAGATATAGATATTATATCCCTAATATACAGAAGCACTTTGATTTAATATATTGACCAGGTAAACTGGCAACATACCTCTTAATAAAATTTTCACTTTTATTATACTTTGTTATTCTATAGACTATATCAACAAATTATAAAAGATACGACAAAAATACTAAAATTTAACTCATCATTTATCACTCGTGTCGGATCCAACTCATTGTCTCTGTTTTTCACTTGAAGTAGAAGAGAAATTGGGAGAAATTGCTTGTTTTATCTTAATCAAAGAGTGAAATGGTAAATTATTTAAATTAAGCTCATTTTAAAAGAAAGAATTAGGGATCCAATTGCTACTACAATCTAAAGTAATCCTGTTACTATCTGGAATAGAAGCTGAAAAGTAGAGAGATTTTTTTCACATATAAAAGAAAGAAATCAAATTTACATTTAAATAAATAATAAAAGGACATGCAATCAAGACTGAACAAAGAATATCTGTATTTAACAGATAACTGACTAAGATTAGTTCCAAATTACAGTAAATTCAACTGATCATCTCAATTACCTAAATAAGAAAAGGAATCCTAATATATTTCTGTGCTTCCCTGATATTCTAAGAGTTTTAGTCACTCTTCTTTTTTGGATTAAAAACAAAAAAAGGAGGAACTCATTTTATGGCCATTCTGATTTTATATACTGGCCTTACATAAATCAAATATATCAGAATGAGCTTACTTTTTAGCTAATTATACACATTTGAGACTCAGTGGTATTGATGTTCTAGTACAGAAACATTTCATAAAACAAAATCTATTTTAAAAATTTAAGGAAAAATTGACAAATACAACTATAGTCAAATAATTTAATATGCAATTCTCAATTTAATTTGTGCACATATTTAGTCCAAAAAAAGGCCATGGGATCAGCTAATTTTATCTTCTATCAATAAACTATTTTAAACTTTCAAGATGCAAATAATTTCACTGCTAAGTAAGATTTTCCAGAATACATAAAAACAAGATGAAACTAATAAAGTCAGCAAGTACACCCAAAAACCAAAAACTTGGCTCACTGGTGAATTATCAGTGAAACTACTATCTAAAAAACTAACAATTTAAATCTAGCTACATTTCAAAAAAAGATAACTACCACCAAGTAGATGATTATCGTAGGAATGCATGGCAGTTTACAATAGAATAATCTCTGAATTGTTATAGCAATAGATCAATTTTTTAAAGTCCTACCTTCCTTTTTCTTACTATGATATATTGTATACATCTTTCCGTGTCTGTTCATATGATGGTCCTAGTTTCTTTTAGGTCTGTGTTGTGTAAAGATAGAATAACAACTCTAAGCAGTCCTCAATTTTTTTCATCATAATAAAGCAGTGCAACAGTAAGCGTCTTATTTTTACATAAATATATTTTTGTACAACTAAATAAAAAATCTGGAAGAATATATACCAAATTAATTTTTATCATGGGAACCAAGATTTTCAGAGTTACATCCTACTTTGTACTTTTCTGTAATAATTTACTGTTTTTTGGCCTTTTTCAATTTAACTTTTTTTTTTTTTCGGTACCGGGGATCAAACTCGGGTTCTTGAGCTTGCGCAACAGGTGGCGAAACCACTGAGCTAAATCCCGGGCCCTCAGTTTAACTTTTTAAAAGTATAAAGATTACACCAAATCAAAGTCTTATCTGAGATGTTACTTGCAGGCCAGCATGGTAGCAGTAGCTGGGTGTGGTAGCATGTACCTATAGTCCCAGCCACTCAGGAGGCTGAGACAGGAAGATCACCCTTTCAGGCCTAGTCTGGACAATATGGTGAGACCTCCATCTCAACACAACAAAAAAGATTACTCATAAAAACTAATGTAGAAATTGTATTTTAATTCTGTGATCATTGATTCATTCACAGACATGTGCTAAACCTCTTCTATAAACTAGCCATTGGCACTTCATAAATTATCTTATTAGATAATAAACCCCATTTGATAATATTAGCTAGCCATTATTATTAAGTAACTGAGGAATATTTATTTAGCATCATTTCTTTCAATCTACCCTCAAAACAATAACGGAATATTGGGTTTCTTCATACCAACTTGAATATTTACCTCTTAGACTGGGATAGAGATTGAGAAGGAATTTATAAATATTATAAAAGCATGGGAGAAAATACTAAGGTAAATAATGATAAATGCAATCCAGTGTATAAATCAAATGAGTGTATAAGTTTTTATAGCAAACATCATAAAAATTAAAGGTACTAGCAAACTGGGAAAAAATCTAAATGTCTAGAAAAGAGAGAAGTAATAAATTAAGCCACTTTATAATATTCCCCAGCCTATAAAATATTTTATTATGATTTTTGAGGAAATGAGCAAGTATTTGGGAAGGAGACATACTTGCATGTGTAATCCACATTGTATGGGTGTGATAATGTGTCTGTTGTAAGAAAAAAGATATAAGCAAAAGACATATTTTAAAATGTTACCCTGGGGGCTGGGGATTTAGCTCAATGGCTTTGGCGCCTGCCTTGCAAGCACAAGGTCCCAAGTTCGATCCCCAGTACCCCCCCCAAAAAAATGTTACCCTGTTTATCTGTTGGTTGTGGGATTTTCATTATTTTTTTTTTACATTTCAGTTTACTCTACTGAGTAATTTAAGAAAAAATTTTAATTTAAGAAAAAGGTTTTACCAAGAGATGGAGGTGGGGGAGAGAGGAAAAGAATTAAGATGTACATGTGCCAATTCCCCATGATAAAAGTAATCATTATGTACTGCAAACATACTAATGAAAAAAATTTGAAGATGAAAAGAAGGTTTGGAACATATTTCAGATACATGCTGTGTTGCATCCACAGCAAAGTGTGACTTACTTTCATTTATTTAGGTGTTACCAGATTTTCAGGTCCTTAATATTCAGAGACTCAAGAGACAGAAGCATAGTGACACAGAACTGTAATCCCAGCACTCTGGGAGGCTGAGGCAGGAGAATCACAAATTAAAGCCCAGCTTGGGCAACTTAGCAAGACCTTATTTCAGAATTTTTTAAATGGGCTGGATGTGTAGCTCAATGCAAAGGCCTGGGTTCAATCCCCAAGTACTACCAAACAAAGAAAAGAGAAACACTTGGTTAAACCATACTGCTCGTCCCATCCTGCCTATCAATTGAGAATTTTCCTCCATAGGAAGATGACCACACATATATTTTTAAAATTGCATAACTGGTTTATTCACAGAATAGCTGAAGATGACTACCCATTAGTGGATCATGAAGTTAATTTAGTAACTATAGGACTTTTTATTTAATTGAATAAAAGAACACTAGAAAATACCACAATATATTACAGAAAAGTTAGGTATTATTTTATAATGTTTTTTAGTGGAGAATGTGTGTATATGTGTTTATACTTGGTGATAACATAAAATGTAGTTTTTATTCCAGGGTACAATCCAGAATGTTTGAAAGCCACTACTAGAGAGCGATAATAACCCATATGAATGTCTTTTATTAAAGGCTTAGCCTAATTTTCCTTTTGTTTATAGATAGATTTTACCTTTCTTACACAGTACTCTATGATCTTTCTTCATTCCTATCAAAGCCTGAAGAGCCAAATGTTATTAGAGAGTTATATTACAGAGGAGTCATTAGTTTTCTAATAAACAACAGGTCTGTGACAGATGAAAACATAAAATTAAATTGTATTTATTAGGAGCTAAATTCTCTTGTTTTGAGTGTAGCACTCCTCTTACAAACTAGCAAAAGATCTGAAAAGGGGACCCAAATTCTCTAAATAATATTTGACAAGAATTTAGTAGATTTGAGCACATTGGCAAAATTTGGCAGGCTAATAGCTTCTTGATCATTTATGAATAATCAAAAATTGTTTCTCTGGCTCCTAAATTATTCAACTCTGCTACTTAAATCTACAGAAAATTATTTCTCCTTTTCCTTTGAGGATACTATTTAAGTGTGAGCAAAACCTAAGCAGCCCTTTACCTTCACTGTGCTTAGTCCACTCACAAAGTGGTGTTAAACAATCACATGTTCTAATGTGGGGAAAAAAAATAGTTTCTTCCATTCTACACATTTACTCTACCCATCACTCACACACACCTGTAAAGCAACTAAGTTTTGTTTTTTGATTTTTTTTTTTCGTATACCAACTACTTTTCCAACATGAAGTGCCATTGTCTTAATCAGTTTCCTCCTCACTGAGACAAATGCTATCAAGACAAGGCACAGTGGTGAGCTAGGCACTGAATGGCTGCAGAGAGGGAGAAACTCACCAACCTAGTCATTCAAGAGTCCTGGGCTGGCAGCCACAGCAGGGGATCAGTGGAGGAGACAGATTTGGCCCAGACAGGCTGTTGCTGCCAGATGCAGTATTCAGAAGAGAAAGTGGCTCACTGGAGAGTGGCACCAGCCAGGGCTGTCAGTTGTAGATGAGAAGTAAAGCTTTCTGCAGCGGGGTAAAAGAACTCTTTAGCTTGTACCCTGACCCTCTGAGGGGGTTGCAGTGCAGTCCAGAGGCTTTTGGGTCCCTACACTGTATTTTGTTTTAGTGAAATCATCTGTACTGTAATGACACTGCCTCAAAAGACTAATAATCTCCCCTATTTTTATTAAGAACACCAGATGCTTGGTAAATGTTTCTCAGGGGAAGGCAGGGGAGAAAGGATAAGGAAATGCCTAATCTAAGCTTTCTATGCAAGACACAGGAATTTTATCTATAAGGAAGAAATATAAGGCTATCTAGAGGAAAAAAAAAAAAACAGCACAAATCTCATCTACTCCCAAATGTAGACATGGTTAAGTGGAGAAAAAAGGTAAAATGGTAAACACTCTTTGATCTCTTACCTCCTATCAGTCTGTTTGCTGGATTTAAAGTCTAGAGTGATTGCAGTGGGACCTCCAGATATGAAAGTTAATTTTATATAAATCTCAGGGGGTTTTGTCTCACAAAGTTGAAGAATAAAATCACAGACAAGGGCCTGGGATTTAGCTCAGTGGTTCCAACGCCTGCTTGGCAAGTCCAGTGTCCCGAGTTTGATCCCTGGTACCAAAAGAAAAAAAAAAAAATCACAGACAAAATGAGAGAATCAGGAGAGTGGTTATTGGAAAGAAGAAGAAAAAGGCCCTTGGGCCCTCTAAGAGAGGATTCTGAATAGAATGTTGTTTGGGCCTTATATAAATAGGCAGATTGCTGGGACTCATTTTAAACAGGTGGTTGTGTGGATTTAAGTTTTAAAGGAAATTAGTTACTTAGCTGGTTAACAGGAAACTGAGTTTAAAGGAAATTGGTTACTCTGCGTTTTTAAGTTTCTCCCAGTCCAGCCCAGAGGTTAGGCAGGAGCTGTCAACAGACTTCATTAACATACCTTCTTCCTGGGAGGAAAAGTCTTTTAACTCTTTTATGTTAACTTTTATATTTTGTTTTCACGGAGTTTTTAAAAAATATTTTTAAGCCTAACTAGCTGCTTAAATTAGCTCTTAACCTAGTGGGCTAGACTTTTGTCTAACTGATGCTACTTTAGGGTCATCTCTGTAACATTTTTATATGTAAATATATGTATATATACTTTTATATGTGTATATATAATATCTTTGTGTTTATATATGTATGAAT